ATATATATATATATCGGGAAAATGACTAAATATGTAACGAATATGCAAATGTCTGGCATGTTTAGAACAAGACTCATTTGCTGACAAATGTAAGGATCGCGAAATACTCATTGGTAAATGTTTTCATATTTGTCAGCAAAGTACATAGCATTCAATCCCGTTTAGATGATAATTTCATTATTTGTTATATTTTCATATGTGCAGCTTTGAATAAGTATTTAATTTATGTTCATCTGAATGACGATGGGGATTAATTAATACCATTTTAATTATTTAAACATTAAAACAGACACTTTGCTTGTATTTAGTAGGTATTCGTATGTAAAATCACTATTACAAAAGAATTTGATGACACGAAAATTGCCATCCATAAGGATGACGAACAAAAAAAAATTTCGCGGCACATCGTGCGCGAGCAGCGCGCGCCCTGCATAAAGACGTGTGATCGCGCATGCGCGCATAAGAGTGTGTTCTGTCATGGCGCTGAACATAAACTATTGATCAAAACTCTTCAGGATCGCTACAGGTTAGACGCACAACTCTTTCTGCTCATCACTCCTGATGGAAATGCTGTTGAAATGTATCTGAATAGTTTCCTCTGTAAATTTCCGGCGATTATAAAATATTTCTGTTTTACAGTTAAATACCGCACGTGTGTTAACGTTAGCATGCCTGTAACTTGTGTTTTCACTACAAATGTTTTCCGATCACTGGATTATATCTCAGTTATCAGTGCATAGATGAATGAATGAGCTTGTATTTAAGTCTGTACTCGTGTATGCTGTCTGTCCAGACACAGCGGATCCTCCAGAATATCAGACTGTTATGTGAAGTTATAAGATGATAACCTGATGTCTGCGTGATGTATGTGATCGTATTTTCCAGAGCCACGCTGTCGTTAGTTTCTCTTTATACGTTACCATGGTAACCATAGCAACATTTGTTGTCGTCACTGTGCGTCTGCTTAAAAATCTACGTAACGTACAATTCTAATACTTTCGCTCACGCATAGTAGTAATTTAAAACACGATGTATAAATATTGTTAACGGAATTTCTAAGATCACAAAAAATATTCATTAATACAAGTCAATATTTGTTCCACGAGTGAACTAGAACAGCATAACAACAACGCTACGATCGTCATGACAACCGCATAGCAACACTCAAAGCGTTAGTCAGATTATACCTTCTAGATTTTACAGATTACAAGCTAATACATAATAAACGTGTGTGTGTGTGTGTGTGTGTGTTAGTCGTAAGTCTTATTTTTAAACAAATATTAACATTATTTTAAAATTAATATTAATATTATTTAAATACATTTTTAGTAAAATATTCAAATTAAGTTATAAAACAAAAATAGTCAAAACCGCGAAGGTAAATATTAATAGTATTACTATTATTATTATTAATTTATTATTATTTAGGATGTCCTGATCAGGTTTTTTTGCTTGAGTTTGAGTCATTGGATTTTGAGTATTTACCGATACCCAATACTCTAAAATGAAGAATACTCAGAATGAAGAGCAAAGAACCCGATCCAGGATGAGCCTTTTTTTTATTGAATTCATCTTATTTTAACATTTAACATCCCTATTAACAAACAGCACTTCTGTGAGGTATCTTGAACAATCAAGTAATAACATCAACTCTTCACTTTTGGACTTTGGTGCAGCAGTAAATATAAAATAATCTAATATAAAAACGAACAGCGCCTCATCTTAAAATACCCAGCAGGCAATCCCAGGTTTACATATCTCACAGTTTGCTATGGCAATGTTGTCTTCATCAACTTTATAATACCTCCAGACTGCAGACATGCTCACGCTTTCCACTTCAAGCTGCTACTAAGTTCTACTTTGCTGGCATTTAACCAATAGCGTCTCTGATACAAAGTGATGTCATGCCACACCCGTTGTTTCTGTGTGAAGATATATATATATATATATATTCCAGTTCTGATCTGAAGGTAATGTCCGATTCCGAACGAGTCTGAATTTGCATGATCAGACCTGATTATGTGATCAAATCTGGACATCGCCAATTATTATACTTTTTATTATTACCTACAGAACAAAGTTATTAGAAATTTGGTATTAAACTATTATGTTTAAAAATGTGTTTGGAAAATAAATCATGGCATTATCCAGCACTTGGGAAATATTTAATAAAGAAAGATAATTTCACAGGACTGATCGTTTTGCTTTCATCTATAAATCAGAGAACACTGAACACAACACCACATAAGAAAAACCAGTAATATAAATAAAATAATATCCATATATTGCGTTTGTTTGTGTGTGTGTGTGTGTTGCAGTGAATCTCCGCTGGTGTGATGTGCATTAGATCAGCGCAGTGATGTCTGGAAATAAAGCGCTGGAGCTGCAGATTCAGATGCGACACAACGCTGAAGATCTGCAGAGCTTTATGAGGGATCTGGACAGCTGGGAGGACGAGATCAAGCAGAAAGACCAGCAGCTTCGCTCTGAAAACACTGGCGATACGCAGGTAAATACGAAAGGGATGCTCTGATTGAATTATTTGAGCCGATATTGGTTTTATAGATGAAAAAACCCTAATGTTGGTCAGCCACATGCAGTACTTTACAATAGGGTATGTGCCGATGTATGCGAATAGGACTTTTAATTTGCCACTAAGCGCTTCCGGTGAGCTGTATGTATTTGCACAATCGGCGCATTTAAGGTCTGTTTTCTTTAAAAATCAGCAATCTCCACTGGCTGAGTGATATCCGATTTAAAGTGGGTCTCAGATTGCACAAGAAGCACCCCAATAAATTACATTCCCCCCGCCATTTCTTTATAATATGAGCATTTAATTTAGTCCAGTATATTCAGTGGAGCTTCTGCGCTAGCCTGCCGATTCTGACGGGCGCGTGCGAGTAAATGGCTTTTTAACTCGTTTTACTCTTGAACAACTAAATGAATGCCAAATTCTGTTTAACTGATTGTATTTTAATGACATTACAACATCAATGCTGTAAAATGAACCGTATAAAATGGAAAAAACACTCACAATAACAGCTCACCGGAAGTTTATTAGTATAGGAACAACACTAACTCTGCATATACCCTATACTTGCATAATGTACAGTACTAATATACAGTAGCTTTTCTTAATTAAATTATTTTTGCCAAAAATAGATTGGATCCATTAACTAATTTAACTATCCAACATTTTAAGAGAGACACAAATTAAACTAGAAAATAATATAAGAATAATTACAATATAACAGTTTCCAAAGGTGATTTTTGCTATTCAGCGTTTATTTTAACAACAGTAGCTTAATTAGAGATGTAATAAAACATTTTTATTTAATACATTTAAGAATATTGACTCTCTAAATGGGATTGTGCCAGTCTGGCATTATGTACAGATTATATTTAGTTTATTTGTGCAAGTATTTACTGATTTTGCTCTAAGAAAAACGTTGGATTAGTCAGAAGATGGGCTCCTTATTTCTTCCATTGCTCTCTTTTTTTCTTGATACACATGAACCAAGCTTGATCATTTAAAAAAACACACTGAATAAATAAAACAACAACCTGTAACTAAGAAATTGAAGGTTAATTGTACAGAAAAGAGACCTAAATTTTCTCCTAATATTGAATAGGATTTTCTCTGGGATGCTGTAGGACGTTCATTAATACTTTGTTAATAGAGAATAACCGTCTTCCAGTTATAATTATAGTTAAATCTTTATATATTATAGCAGATATGTGATTTAATACAATCCGACATTAGCCTCCAATACGCTGGTGTATTTGTAGTAAATAAATCAAACTCTAGAGTCAGACTGCTGTGTGATTGAACTGCGTGTGATTTCAGAAAACACTTCCACCTGTGAGAAACAAAGACTATAAGAAGACGAAGAAGAGGGCGAAGCGGCAAACTAACAGCCTGAAGGAGCAAAAAGAGACGCAGCGGATAAAATCCTACGATTATCAGACCTGGGATAAATTTGATGTGGTAATACGATCGTGCATTTTAATTCTCACACACACACACACACACACACACACACACACACACACACACACACACACACACACACTGATGTGCAAATTATTATGTGTATTGATGACCATGAATGTTAATTGTTTAGGAAAAGGCTCTGGAGTCCATGGATGCGGAGGAAAGCCCGGTTCAGTCCAATGAATCTGACTCTGAATGTGTTAACGTGGACCGAGATCTGGCGCTCGCTGAGAAAGAAAAGGTTTCAGACTCTTTTTTTTTTTTTCTTCAATGTTTATAATTAAATATAAACATCAAAAAAGAGAAAAATGAAGAGAATCAATACAATTGTGTAAACAACATGTAATCCATAACAGATTTAACTGTTTACGAGCATTTAAAAATAAGTAGTTTACTCCAATTACAAGTAATCTGACTCTGTAATCCAGTTTACATATAACCAGTGTGTGAATTATACATTAACGTTCAACTTTTTTGGTAGTAGTTTAATAATAAATGGTTTAGTGAAGGACATTTAAGAATGTATTTAAATTACATCACATTAATTGATTAAATGTTTACGTTATCAGTGTTTTGAGGCATATTTAGTGACCATTTTAGAGGTTTCTGTAGGCCAAACTATGCAAATTATGCGTCTAATATAATTTTTTAGGCTACATGCAGATCTAAACACCTATTTTACAAGAAATGTGTTTTGTGAGGTCAAATGTACATTTATATTATACATTTTTTAATTATAAATAGTTCAGATATAGATCACACTTCAGAAAGCTGTTTCTCACTATTAAAGGGCTCACCCCTCATACATCTTGTTTTGATGTCCTTCAGGGGGGATCAATC